AACTAACTTTTCTCAACGATATTCTGTTTATGTCAGCGAATATTATGGAGTTTTAGGTATGAGAGAGCTTTGCTTCAGCTGTTAGTGGCGTCGACCGCACCGGTAGTTTGCAATTATCACGACATACACCCGGCCAACAATTGTTACATAATTCAGTCGCTGTCCGTTGTGTTCATTGGGCATTAAATTAATTGTTTTTTAGATATATCTATAATTAATTGACTCGTTTTTATCGACGGCTACGCGACTTCAACTCCAACCAAAACGATGGGTCCTATTGTGCGGATGCGTCGACAAATAAAGCCGATTTTTTAGGCATAAAATACAATGAATTTTATGCTATAATTTATTTCGCGCACAAATAATAAACAATGTATTCAATACTTTTTTGTTCAGTATTTTTATTATTTTGTAATTTTTAATTCTTTAGCAAATATTTTCAAAAATTGCTTAAAAATATATGCATTGAAAACATTGGAAATTCAATTAATATCAAATTGAATTCATTAAATTTGACAGTATTTTAATAAATAGTTAAATAAGATTGGTAATAAATGGCAATGCTATAAGTTAACTACAATTTAGGATATAAAGAAATTATACTCTTTACATCAATATTTTCAAAATTTTCAATCCTTATTGCTTGGAAACTTTTACTGTTGTTATTTTTAAGAATTAATATATTTTTACAAATAAGTACTTTTTAATTGATTGTTAGATTACTTAATAATTTCTTCTATAGGAAAAGCATTGTCCCATTTGGACAAGATATTAGTCATAGACATATCATTGCAGTAAACTTAATTATCATATTAACATTAACTCATATGATTTACATAACCCTTAGACTTAACAGAGGATTAACATTACCATAGACCTAGCATTAACCCCATTGAAATACCATACAGTTAACATGGCATATATTTTGACTTTTGCCGATAGGGTTACGATTGCCATAAATTGTCAAATTTGTATTTCTGAAACAATAATCTGATTCTGTGTTCATAGAGATCGCCACAGAATCCGCACCAGAATTGGCGTATTCTTGAGGAGTCATTCATTTATAACGTACAAAACGTGATGAGTTTGGAGTGGATTCTGTCCTCTCATTAGTTGCATTCCTGAAGTGATGCCTTTCCCCGGCTTTTGACAGTAATATTTGATAAATAGCTTCGTTAGCCATCGACTCAATTGTACGCCAGACCTGTATATTCATCGACTCTTAAGGCTATTAATTGTAGCAATTAATTGCTTCCCATCACTGGTCACACCGATTGTAATTACTTTTTATCATATATTTTACGCCACAAACCAATGCTAAACATTTTTATGCGCAAAACAATTACTTTCATTAATTACAATATTATTTGAATGTATTTTTAGCATTGATTTTAATTAATATAATACTAATGTCTGGAAGCTATTATTTAATTAACAAAACACAAAATACATCTAAAAAACCTAAAAACAAAAGTATTTCATAGCTAGAGATGGAGAGAGAGAGAGAGAGAGAGAGAGAGAGAAAGAGAGAGAGAGAGAGANGTTTATAGGATTTAATTGGTTTAGAATAGTCCCATAGAATAACATTATGGCAATAAAATATAGGAATAGATTTAAATTGGAATCAGAGAGAGAGTAGTGGTACGAGAGTTGGCATTAATTGGTATGCGGTTCCTATAGTAACGCACAGTCACTCCAGCATCCAATGGATCCGCTATATTATGTTTAGACAGACTGTGCTCTCGCATCGCATCGCACACTGTATTCAATATAAAGTAACATAACTTTAGTGTAGATCTCTTTTGGCCACAAAAAACTTCTGGCAATACAACTGTTTGCCTGAAAAACTGTGCGACGATTTGCCATTGAATAGTGTATTCAACGATACGCTTATGATTACTGTTATTATTATTACAATTACGAGCAATACATGCGATGAAAAACAATTTATTATAAATAATTACAACGGAATCGACGGATAAAAAACAAACAAAACATATAACTTAACGCTAGACTCGTAATTAAAGTGTCGATTTATGTGTAAAATATATATGTATTTTCATTTCGCTTCTCATTTATTGATAATTAATGAATAAATAGTGTTATTAATGTCTGGATATGTCAGAAAAGTTGTCCTCCAAATACCATTTGATTAGAAATATTATTTATTATGTGATTCTTGTGCTCTTGTTGTTTGTGAGGAACCGACACTTCACGGATGCACTCTTCCCGGAAACCATCAAAATTGGTAATTGTATTACATTTTTACATCTTTTTTAATTTTTTTGACCACAATTCAGCATTAAAATTAAGGTTTATAAAATCCCAACTTCTTCCCCTCCTCCCTATCTGATCCCAATTTAAATCTATTGCTATATTTTATTGGCATAATGTTATTCTATGGGAATATTCTAAACCTATTAGAGTAAGAGGGGAGGGAAGGGTGTAGTGTTGGCCAAAAAGAAATTCTTTAGAAATTTCTCGTTAGAAAGTTTCTAGAAATTTCACCTGGACAAATTTCTTGAGAGATTTAATCAAAACATTGAATAATTGAGTTAATAAACTTAAAAACAAAATATGTTAAATTAAAAATGTTTTATTAACTAACAATGCATGCACTGAATTGATACAACACACTTAAATAAACGAGATTAGCTGTAGTGTCGTAGAAAAATTTAACAAATAATATAATAATTATTATTAACGCATGTAATTTATATAAAATCTTTGTACTTTAAATGTACTTTATATAATGACAAATCACATAGTATAGATGTGATTTATTCATTTATTGCAAAATTGTGATTAAAAATTATATATTTTAATCTGCTTATAAATAAATTAAATAAAAATATAACTAATGCTGAAAATTTTAATGCATTATATTTACAGAGATTACATTTTCGTTACGTTATTTGAGATTTTTAACCACAATTCAGCATTGAATAATGTTGTTTATAAGATCGTTCGGCTATCCCTCCCCCACCCCGGCCCCCGCTCTATAGGAATTAACATGGGATCGCAGCTTAAGTCTATGGCCATACTTTAACATGGTTAATGCTAAAAAGTCTATGGGTTATGAGTAATGTAATGTAAAGTCTATGTAAAATGCTAAGACTATGGACAATGGTAACTCTATGGGACTAATGCTAATTCTATGGATAATATTGATTCTATTGGACTAATTCATGTTAACTCAATGAAATTTGTGTTAAGTCTATTGTACTCATATTAAATCTGTAAATAATGCTAATTAATTCTTTGAGCAATACTCAAATTGTGGTTAACGTATAGCATCGCTGTGTGAACCATGTTTAATAATTAATTAATTTTATAACTTTATTCGCTAGAATTTTGAAGGATTTTTAAACAATGAATTTTAATCTGCAAAACCCTCCCTGCTCATTTATAAAGGCCATACTTTACTTACTTTATTATTAAAATTGAATTCATAGTTATATAACTGGTCTGCAATTCATGGCTTTTACCATTAAAATGATATATTCGACAATAAATTAAAATTTTTTACATTTATAACAGAAAAGTATGGGAACTGTGAAAATAGCAGACAATCTATTTATAAATTGCAAAAATAAAACTTTCATTTAATTACAATTTCAGATAATTATGTTTATATTTACTAAATAAGCATTCATTCAATTGATTGATACAAAACAAGAAAATGCAAAGAGATTTATATTATTTTCAATTAAAATGAGAATTCATTAAAACAATTGCATTCCTGTGTTTTAAATGAGATTTAAATTATTTATAAATACTTAATGTTTGCGTATTGTTTGCAAAACGATTATAACTTTTATTTCAATAAATAATTGTTTTGCAGATATCGTTAACAACTAAAGAATTTAAGCCAATAATGGATTAAATATTTATTTTATACTTTTTGTGCACTAAATAAAAATACAAAAAGCGAGACTTTATGAACACAGTGTACGACAGTCTGTACTCATTAATTTAAACCAGATTTATAGTGCTTTAAAGTCTGAATGAGAGAGAGAGAGAGAGAGAGAGAATAATGTTTTTTGTTTTTTAAAAGAAATATTGCCTTTATTTTAAAGCACTTATTATATAAACTCGTTTCTCTTCGTATAAATCCTATTAATATTTAATGTCCTTTGAATTCAGGCAAAGGAAAATTCCGAGAGAGAGAGAGAGAGAGAGAGAGAATTAAGGAACAGTTTGAGAGTTTAAAGAATAAGAAAAAGTCTTAATAAAAGCATTGAATTAATGTGTTGTACAACACATTCAGTACTTATACTACAGTCTAATTGACTGACGAACTAATGCTTTAACAAAACATTCAAAAGAAAATTTGTTTTTGTTTAAAAATAAGCCGAAAAAAGTAAAATATAACCAATTTTTGACCACATATTCATTGTATGAATAAAAGAAAGTGAAACGAAATTACAATAATATTTATAGTAATGTTTAACCGACAGATTGAATAACTTGTAGGCATAAGAAATCAACAATTCGTGTTGTATTTACTGAACGATATTTGCAAAAATACAACTCATGTTTAGCTCATTGAACCCATTCTTGTCAGACAGTGTCAGACATTGCATTCATGCTTAAGATTCCGACTGTTTTTTATTAAGTTAGGATCAGAACCAAACAGATCTGAACAATGGCCGGACTGTTTGGTAAAGTGCTTTAATAGCTTTCTATCAATACATATATTCATAAGATTATTACAGAGTGTCGCACGAAATGAGTATTAATATAAATTGTGGCCATTTTTAGTCACAGAGGTTGCATAAAAAACATTAGTGGCCTTTATATTGAGATTTACCATCAAAAGGGTTGTCCACTCCATAAGCTTTAACACGTTTGGTCTCAATGTTTAATAAGCGATAAGTTTCTGCGAATATATTACATCTCGATATAAATTACTAGATTATGATTAATGAAAATATAAGCAAATATTATTAAACATATGGTTATAAAGAGAAATCCTCTCAATTGTGGGCCAATTTTGGGGCAAACAGTTTGTGTGCCCTAACATGTGGTCACAGATTAATTTATAACCGAAATAACGGTCGATAAAAATATAATCCAATTTCGTATAATATTTTTGAACAAACATTTATCACATTTAATGGATATCTGTTTGCAATGTTTCTTAAAACATAATTTTCTACATTTTTGAGAAATTATTCTCAAACAGTGAGTTCAGTATTTTATGATTAAAGCAAAACTTTGCCTAAAATAAGAAAATTTCTACACAAACACAAAATGAGAGAACGAAAGAAAGATGTTTTATATCGATCATTAAATTGTAATTTTGCATTGACTTTAGGGATCATTAAAATAAATCAATTTAAACATTGAATTTGTTTGTGAAGACTATTAGCTAGTATTACACGAACACAGAGAGAGAGAGAGAGAGAGAGAGAGAGAGTAACCAAAAGTACACTTTTGTTTTTTCGATATCTTCTCCTTCTTCTGTGCCGTTGAAGCGATTCAATCGCTTCTTAATATGTCTTACAAAAGACAAGTCACACAAACACACAACGATTATAACGAGTTTATATAATAAGTGCTTTAAAATAAAGGCAATATTTCTTTTAAAAAACAAAAAACATTATTCTCTCTCTCTCTCTCTCTCTCTCTCTCTCTCTCTCTCTTTCTGTAGAAATAAGACAACTTATTAAGCCATACATAAGCTTTATTTAAAGCCTTAAATAGGGTTAGAGTTTGTGTTTTAAGAGAAGAAAATCTCTATATTTTATGCTCCGATTCTTATCAACAGAATCTCTGTATATAATTGTTGATTAAAAACCATACGATATAAATGTGTTACAGAATTGCAGAGACAGCACAACAACAACAATAATAATCATAATAAGAGCACAAACACATTGAGCACAATATTTATGTCAAGAATCCGATTCCCATTTAAATGAGACACTTATTACTGTATTGGCTAATAGTGTGCGCTAATGTGTTTGTGCTCTTATTATGATTATTATTGTTGTTGTTGTGCTGTCTCTGCAATTCTGTAACACATTTATATCGTATGGTTTTTAATCAACAATTATATATCTGTATGAGAGAGAGAGAGAGAGAGAGAGAGAGAGAATAATTAGCAACAGCTCTAACATTAACGTTCGCGATAATCTCATTTAATTAATATTTAGATTTTAACTCTAGCTTAACCTTCATTGAGTTGAAAAATGTTTTTAAAAATGTTTGCCATTCCCATAAAAATAAGCCAAAAATAGTTTTAAAAATCATATTCAAAGACATGTATACATAGAAAAAAATGTAAGACATGTCGGAAAAGTTTGCAGATTAGTGTGCAATCGATCCGTTGGCCTAATCGTTGCCAATTAGACGTATCGATAATTGTGTGCACATGTAATACACTTACCAGTAATTGTTGTCGGAGTCGCTGCCCCTTGACTTACATGACATTACATTCCTTGATATACATTGAGTGCACAGTAATGTCATGTCAAATAAAATGATCATATTTAATGTATACAATGTACCCATTGGTTAATTTATTTAAAACTATAATTTGCGATTCTGAGATCATTTATATAAATTAATGTATGTTTTGAAACAATAAAAGTGAACAGATTTAATAAGTCGATAACATATTAACGTTTGCACCAATACTTATGTAATGCTTTCTCTATACTAATTGTTATATCATTTGGACTTATTTTCTTATTTTGCTGTTTCATTGCTTTTGCCAAAACATTTGGATTAATGAATGAATTAATTAAATCCGAAATTACATAAGTTATGGGAATAAACAACATTGAGATGAAAGCGGACACTAATTGTTTATTTAATTTAAGCGTTAGATTAGTGTATAAATCAATCGCCAGAGAAATGACAAAAACATTAATATTAGGGAATAAATCAAACGATAAAAGAAGTCGAGTCTGTGTTTAAAAAACAAAAGTTAAATAAAAAACAACAATAAAAGTTAATCTATTATTATTCTTATCATTATATACTTTATACTGTAATAAAAGAGTGATAATAATGTCATTTATGATATGTGTTGATCACAGGAGGGATCTTCGAGTCGGGCGATGAAGAACTGGTGGATGCGTTCAAACAGGCGGTCGATCGGGTGAACAACGACCGCACAGTCTTAGCCCGGAGTAAACTCGTGGCTCGTATTGAGACAATCAAATCGCACGACAGCTTTCACGCGTCGAAACTCAGTCAGTATTGAATTCATATTATTCTCCACTCTATTCAACCCATCAATTGATTAATTGCTAACCAATACTCATATACTTATAATGTCTTTATGTTAACGACATTTTTATCTGCCACTAAACTTAGCATTAAGTCGGTGATGAGAGAGAGAGAGAGAGAGAGAGAGAGAGAGAGAGTTTGTGTAAAGATTTTTTAAAACTTGTATTACTGTATGTGTTTGTAATGCTCTAAATAACACATTAGATATGAAACCCATTTTCCGACTCAATATTTAGATTCGGCGATGAGAGAGAGAGAGAGAGAGAGAGAGAGAGAGAGAGAGAGAGAGAGCACTTGCTCATCTCTCTTTTATTTGTATTTTTCCGTTAGTTTTCAAAATAGAAAGAAAAACTATTTTGAATTGCAAACCAAAAGCAGTGCATAAATGAAATCATTAAACTGTTTGATAACATAAATAACTGTATATATAATCAAAGAAACATTTGGCAAAACAAACAATTGTACTTTTTGTCCTATAAACCTCCGGTACACAAAAGTCAGCTAATATGACTAATAAAATTTTTGAAATAGCTAAGACCCTAGCACATAATGCCAACTAATTTAATTTTTAACCAAAATTCAGGGATGATTCATCCCGGATGAATAATATGGTTTATGGGATTGTTTGGCCCCCTCCCTCCTCCGCCCCTACCCTATGGTATTTAGCATGAGATCCCAGCTTAAGTCTATGGCTATTTTTTAACATGGGTTATCCTAAGTCTATGGCAATGCTAATTCTATGTATAATGTTAAATCTATGGGACTAATTTTATCCTATGAGTAATGTTAAATCTATGGAACTAATGTTAATTCTATAGATAATATTGATCGTATGGGACTAATGCATGTTAACTCTATGAAATTAGTGATAAGTCTATGACAAGTCTATTGTAGTCATGTTAAATCTATGGACAATGCTTTATCAATTCTTTGAGCACTACCCGAATCGTGGTTAACATATAGCATCGCTGTGTGAACCTTGTTTATAAAGTATCTAGGTTATAAATAGCCATTGAATAATCTCTGTCAGCCAAAGTGCCTTCGATTGTATAATAAGAAAAACATTGGCTATATTTCACAGTATTGTTAGTATTATAAGTGTTTTTATTTTGTGTTTGTGTTGTGTATGAAAGGCAGGGAAAAGATTGGTTTCAAATTGTTTTAATACCAAAGTTCACGAATGATTGAATGAATCGATGATTCGCGGACTCAGTCTATGATCGGAATATTGTTATGAATTTTCCATAGAAATTGCTTTTGTATTTGTTTTTTGAATAATTTATTCAATAAATATAGAGAGAAATTGAGAGCAAAGTCTTCGGGAAATGGATTTTGACGAATGGAATCAATTAAATGAGATTTTCATTTAACTTGTTGTTAGGGAACGGTTTTATATGCAAATACGGCGCCCTTTAAGGCAATACATGGTTACAAATAAATCAAAAAACATATTTAATATATGCATTACTTTGCGTTATGACCAGAATATTCCGCAATCAAATGGGGGCTTATTTTTGTTTTTCACATTTTATGCCTATTTTATTCAAAGTCTTTACAATAGTTTTTATATATCCATCGAAAAACCCGACAAAAATAGATATAAAAACAAATTATTCTTTACTTGTTTTGAGAAAATAGGTTAGAAATGAGCGGATTATTTGAGAGTGAGTACGTAAGTGAGCGATGGAGAGAGAGAGAGAGAGAGAGAGAGAGAGAGAGAGACTAAGAGATGTGACACAACATTATGCGGTCGTATTATTTTTATCGCGAATATTATATTATGTTTTCTCCGCAAATGAATGGCATATAAATAGAAAAATAGTTTGGATTCAATCCAAAGGCAACATTTGAGTGAAGAATATTGTGATCAAAACACTAGAAAACAAGAATAGTTTTCGGTATAATTCTTTGAGCGCCGGTTCTCTTCATTAATAATAAAGTCATTATATTTTATTAGATTCACAATCAGTTTAAGACTACACTCACAGCCCTTATTGACGCCATTCTTGGCTTTTGATTCACATTAAATATTAAATCTATTTCTCTCTCCCTTTTCGCTCCCTCTTTATCGGAGGGCAGAAAACTGTTGTTTGACTTTCGCTCCGCCAAAACAGGCCTGTAATGAGTCGTTAACTTTTCGATTGTATAATTAAATTCCCAAAAATACATTTAAATAAATTCATTCACATTTGTATTCATTGAGAATAACGAAGAATTTCAATAACTTATTGTCGCAGAGAAATAGACGAAAGAAAATATGACAGAGTATTGGATTTCAATTCAAACCATGAATGTCTGATTATTGTCTTTGTTTTTTTTCTTTGTGTGATAAATGGTTGTATGGATTCCGTCGCCGATATAAATATATCGATAGATATATTGTTGAGATTGTGGTAATACTACTCAACACTTCACTCAATACTAACTGTACTCTAACGCTAACTATTGTGTTGTTAAACTGTCTTTGAGTACAGAGTTTGT